GGTCCCTTTAACTGATGGCAAGGGGGTTTATAGCCTCACTTTCTTTGCAGTGCGGAGTGAATATAGATTTCACATTTGAATATTCTAAGTTTAAATGGTAAAACAAAATGGCTAGGTCGCGTAAGCTACCGCCCGATCCAAAGGGCTCAGCCGGATTCATCCATCCATCCATCCATCCATCCATCGTTGTAAGAGGTTTCAAGGAACCCAGTTTTAAGAGACGCAAGAGTGTGAACGGGCCTTAACGGTTGTACGACAGCCCCAGTATAAAAGGCTCTGGGTTGTACCTGTCCTAATGGCCAGAGTGGGTGATTAGCATATTAATTAGCTCCTGACGTCATCGTGACGTCATCATGACTCCTGGCGGCCTCTACCTAGGTTTCCTTGACTGCCGGTAGCTTCGCTGCCCTGGTTGAGTCCGAAGACAGCTATAATTAATAAGTTGGGAGCACCGTTTAAAAATGTAACGTTCCACCCGTCAGGATGGCCGAGCGGTCCAAGGCGCTGCGTTCAGGTCGTGGGTTCGAATCCCACTTCTGACAGCAGTTTTGCAGAGCAGCGATTTGCCTCTCATAGGATACTTGCATCTCTTTTTGTGTGAGTGCCCGGGTCTGCACCAGGAGAGCTGGGATTCGTTTTCCGACCATGCAGACTACAGTTTTGCCAGTCATGGGCTTGGTCTTCTCCAAAAGAAGATACTCTTTTTTCTCCTTCTGGGATCCGGACCGAATCGCACCTTGTAGCACGTTGTCAACAGAACATGAGCATTAAAGTCAGAGTGAGTGAATAATATGCTGCAGAATGCAACCGATAAGAACAGAGGCACAGTTTTGTCTCTCCCCATCCCTTCCTGCTGCATACCTCAATGCGTTCAACGGTGGCTCCTGTGACGTATATTTTTTTTTTTTTTTAGAGTTGGGGGGGGGGGGGGGGATACTTTAACTTGCAGTTTCAGTGGCAACTTTTTGCGTGAGACCATGAACTTATTGACTCTTTGGACTGAGAGAAAAACAAAAGGAACGTCGGGAAGCAGGCAGAAAAGAGAGAGGGACAACAGACTCTTTATTCACTCCCTCGCCTTGCGAACTGCGTAAAACCAAATAGACAAAAGAACAACAACATAACTTGTGGAGGACAGGGGTAGCTGGGAACTGTGGATCTACAGTGTATTCCTTGGTAATCAATTTACCTCTTTTTTATATAAAAATATTAATATTGACCTTATAAAATTGCCCATTGTCTCTCTTCTAAGATTGTTTATTTCTTTGGGTTACAATTTTTGTGAAGCTCTCATTTAGTTCTATGGCTTCTTGTTGTTCTGGCGCTTGTAGAACCAACCACTAGGATTGTGACAAATTGTAGCGTCCAACGGTGGCTCCCGTAACGTATATTTTATTGTTTATTTATTTATTTATTTATTTATTTTTTTTGGGGGGGGGGGGGGGGGGGGGGGAGCGGGTACTTTGATTTGCAGTTTCAGTGGCAACTTTTTGCTCCCAGAGCTTCCTTTTCTGAGACAACGAGTATCTGTGTCGTGTAGTCCGTTATTTCATTTTCCTGGTCTTAAAGCAAAGCTAATATACGTATATGCAATATAATATATGCAAACATTTATACGATGGTATTAGAAGAACGCTTTATGAATGCCGTCCCACACAAACCACTTTTTTTCTAAACCTTTCCTCGATGATATATTTATTATATTGAATAGATGAGAGGACAAACTTATTGAATTTATTTATTTATTTAAAGACCTTAAGAACCCTGAGTCAGGGTATTACATTAATTTTGCGAACAATTTCAAGCCACATATTAAATTTACCTGTAAACACTCTGATATGGAAATATATACTTTCTGGATATTAAATTTAAGATCACAGGAGATAGTTGAAAAGCGACATTATATAGAAAGCCCACAAAGAGACGCCAATTCCTCCATTATAAAAGTTGTCATCCCGCACACAACAAGGCATACCGCATGGTCAAATGCTACGCTTGCGGCGTTTATGTTCGGAAAACGCTGATTTTGAAGAGAAAGCTCGCACATTGGGTGAAGTTTTTATAAATAGAGGATATATCCATTGGCATTAATAAATAATTCGATAGTGAATAGCCAAATGGTTCCCCGCAGTGATAGTCTGTTACAAAAACAAAAACGAAATAACTATAAATTACGACTCATTTTATCCTGTCAATCCCAACTACCAAACCCTTAGACGTCATATGAATATATTACACTTCGGCTTGAAAAATATAATTCCGCAGCCACCAGGTATTACGTTCAAGAGACCGCGTAATTTTACGGATATTTTTAGACAATCAAGAAATTCCATTGGACGTGACATTGTTTTTGTTGGTTGCGTAAAATGTGACAATAATAAATGTAACTTATGTTCAAGTATTTTGGTTGCTGACTGCATCAGAAGTACAGCAAACAATTTTACTTGGAAAATAAATGACCCATTTAACTGTAATCCTGAAAATATAATTTATATAATTCAATGCAAGAAGTGCCTAATTCAATACACAGGAGAGACTGGAGCGAGTGTACGAAAACGTATGAACTTGCATAAAAGTAATGTTCTTACACTCGTACCAGGACCAGTTTCTCGTCACTTGGATTCCGCAAATCATAATGGTATTTCAGATTTCAGTTTTATTATACTTCAAGGTAATTTTAGAGCCACTAGAGACCGTAAATAAAAGGAATCTCAGTTTATTCATAAATGTAATACACTAGAACCGAAGGGCCTTAACAGATCAAAAGGAATGTTACCTTCGTTTTTTCTTGATATTTAATATAGATCTTCTAATCGGTGCCGCACTTTTTTTCCGCTTAATCGTTTAATGCGACACGAGCAAATATATATATATATATATATATATATATATATATATATATATATATATATATATATATATATATATATATATATATATATAATTTTTTAATGATTACAATAAGAATGGGCACCTGATATTGCCGTAGCGTTGCACGTGCCCTCTTTTTTTTTTTTTTTTGAACCGCTTAAAAGAAGAGAACAAGGAAGTGGTCAATCTTGCGACTGACTGAAAAGCCAGGCCCGAAAGGCTTCAAGTCGCATCGCCTCTTCCCGTTGTTCCTCACGCACTCGTGAGTGCCTTTTTTTATCCAGGTTTATATATATATATATATATATATATATATATATATATATATATATATATATATATATATATATATATATATATATATATATATATATATAAACGAACGTATGCAGATGAATGAACCTTACTTAATCCAATGAATCGAAAAATCAGTTTTACGAACCCGCCGAAAGCAGTCAGGATTTCAACTCTGGGCCTCTCAGTGTCCGGTATATACAGGGTGTCACAAAAGAAAATTTACACGACCTTTTTTACCGTAAAAATAAACTAGGCATCGCCGAAAGCTCATTCTCCGAACAAAGGTAGAGCTAGAGGTAACAACCAGATGCCAAAGTTTCATCCCGATCCATCAACTTAATCAAAAGTTTTCAGCGATTTTCTGAAAATTTCAATGGGAAAATGAAGCCCATTTTTGCCCGTTTTCGGTTTCTGGTGCCATAGAGCCCCATGTGTTTTAAAGCTCCGTCGGCTGCCATTTTCCCATTAAAATGATCAGAAAATCACTTATAACTTTTGATTAAGTTATCGGATCGGGCATCTTGTAGGCATCTTGTTGTGACCTGTGTAGTTTATTTTTGCGGTGGAAAAGACCGGGTAAATTTTCTTTTGTGACACCCTGTATATATTCGCAGATACATGGTGTCCCAAGTCACCAGGCTCAATCTAAAATGGACCGTAAAAATCGATGCCTGCAAGTAGCAATCTAGACTTTTCATCAAAGGCCTATTTCACAGGTCAGTTTTTGCTTGTAAAATTACAAAGCGTACGGTGGTCACAGTCGTTATCTAGTGCGCACTCGCACTAAATAACAACTTGTTAAAACTAAAAAAAAAAAAAAAAAACGTAAAAAAAAAAAAAAAAAAAAAAACTGCGTCGGCCGGGAATCGAACCCGGGCCACCCGCGTGGCAGGCGAGTATTCTACCACTGAACCACCGACGCGCTCTAAAATGGCGCCGCACGTGAGAGATCCGGTTCGAGATATTCTCGTGAAGCTCCAAGCTGTCGATGTTGTTGAAGGTTTGCTGTGTTTTCCTGCAGGGGCCGAAAATCGGCTTAAAATGTTAGATGTTGTTTAAAGTTCCACAAACTTTTGAACTTCGTAAATTAGAAACACGCAAATGAAAAAAAAAAAAAAAAAAAAAGGCTAGCTGCAGGTCGTGTCCTCGACTGTTCATTCTTCTTCTACTTTGAAACTTTCCTCTTATCCTGCCTCAGTCTCGGGCTAAGAGCAAAATGGTTAACATCCACCAGCTCGCCTGCGCAATGACTACATTATCATTGAGATACGGTTTCGTGCGAACGAACGTGTCACTAGTTGTGTGCAGTGCAGACGGGGGAAGGGGCCAGGAGAAGAGAGAGAGAGAAGCGGTAGACGAGGGCAATGCAGCGTTCCTCCTCTCGCCTGGCGTTGCCACGGCCTGTGCTGGCGTACTGCACGGAACTAGTGACGCGCAGTATAGTGGCAGTTTACTATCATGAACCTGGCAGCGGGGGTCTGGGCATTTCTGGCATGTGCACCAACGAGACGGCGTCATACGCTAAACCATAAGACGGGGAAAATCCAGACCACAATTAATTACAGCAGTGAAGAGCGTAGCGCAGCGCACGCAGGCACTAATCGATCGCAGATATCAACTGCCCGATCATTGAAAGGCGCATGTTCTGCGCTACGCTGCGTTCACTGTGATCAACGTCTGACTAGACATAACATATCTCGTGTTTGTGCACAGCGGCATGACGATCAGCTTCTTGTACAAGTGAAAGTGAAATGCGATGAATAGAGTCACGATTTATCGCTTAAAAGAGCGTTAACTTCTCCACCATCCCATCTTTCTTTGGATTTATTCTAAACGGGGCAGCGCGAACGCAGTGCCCGCACTACCGAAAATTGCATGCCCCATCTGCCCCAGTTTGGGATAGTGGCAGGCGTCAGGATGGTCGAAATGCAATGACCGCGCCTCTTCCTGGTTGAAAAATTTTATTTTCACCAACATAAGTCATATAATTTACAAACACTTCCACATCACTCACATCACTTCGGTCTTTGTCCACACAGAGGTACAGGTAAACTCTTAGCTAATTGGCGTACCACCTACCTCTATTACAACCTTAAAAAAGGATTGGATGGGGGTAGTTTCTACCCATCCTCAAAACCTAAAATTTTATACAAAGTCTAAGGGTGGGAACTTGAGCGCCACGTGGCCGCTCATCACGTCTACAAATTGGCATGACCACCTTCTTAAAAACATCTCCTCTCCCAAAGTGAACAGCTCTTGCTCCAGATGGCTTCTTAATTCGGCTCGTAATCTACCCAAAATCGGCCACAAGGCTCGTTGTCTTCGTCCTACCACCACCGCCTGGTTCCTATTTTTCCACAAGGCATAATCCCCTGCAGCCACCAACAGTTGTGCAAAGTTCCCTGTCGGGCATGAACCCCGCTCCCGGTGCCACAAAATTTTCAACCCTCGAAACCCGCAATCTATCGCCCTCCAAAAGGTGCGCGTCACGACACATTCGGTAAATGCGTGCTGACAATTCTCTATGTGCTCACAATTAGGGCACAACGCATTCACATCCTTCCCCCACCTTCGGACTTTATCCTTTGTCGGGAGCACCTCCCACCCTTTCCTCCACTGGAATTCCTGTACGTGGCTCGGTATCCTCGGTGCTGTCATACTATTCCAGGGAAACCCTTCCATCCCTCTGCGTCTATGAGGTGGAACTCGCGCAATCGCCAACTCCTCCATCACCCGTACCGCCGGGCTTGCCCAGACGTCAAGTTCGGGATCGTGGAACTTCAACTGTCTCCACAAGGCTAACATTCTTTTAAAAAACAGGGGAGGCCGCTCGGCCGACGGGAGCAAGTTCCCAGACACCCTTGGCACTATCTCGCGTCTCTGTGGCCCCAGAAAATACAGCGCCAAAGGACGCGCCGGATTCTCCTCCTCCTCCACAATCGCCAGCAAAGTTTTTAAACCTAACACCCCCACAAGGGTGCTGACGCAGGGGAACCCCCACCCTCCCTTGGTTCTGGCCAAACTTATAACCGGCTCGGCTACCTTCACTTGTTTGTCGCTCCAAAAAAAGGAGTTCAGCTGGCGTTGCACTCGCACTACAAAGTCTGCCGGTGGAACGCCCACCCTGGCCGCGTACCACAGCCGTCCACACAGTATTGTCTGCGCTACATATCGTTTCTCTGCTAGTGGCAAATTATAAGATTTTGCCATTTCTATTTTTTTTTCCATTTCAGTTTCTATGTTATTCCATGTTATACACGACAGTCCAGTGGAATTATATGTGATACCTAAAATTTTTACATGAGGCCCCCAAGCGACCTGCGGGAGCGGTCCATAAGCCCCTCCCAAACGCAGTGCTTTACTCTTACTATGATTAAGGCGAGCCCCCGACACTAGCGCATACTCTTCAAAAAGCTTAAACACTCTATGTACACTATCTACGTCTTCGAGGTACAACGTTATATCATCTGCGTACGCCAGCGCAACTGCCCTCTCCGATCCCGGCATCGGCAGGCCCCGCACCCATGGATCCTTCGTAATCTTTACCAGAAAGGGGTCCAACGACAAAATGAACAGCACTGGGGACAGCGGACACCCTTGTCTCACCCCCCGAGTTACTGGAAAAGAACTAACTATGCGGCCATTGATCATCAACTCGCTAGTCATCCCCCCGTACAATTTCCGCAGTGCCATTATAATTTCTTGCGGTACACCGAAGGCTTCAAGAACCGCAAACAGATATGCATGTTCAATCCTATCAAAAGCTTTCGACTGGTCTAACGAGACCAGCATCCCCTTCGCCGATCTTATTCTTGTATATTCTATCAAGTCCCTCGTAAGAGCCGCAGCGGCGAAAATACTTCGGCCCGGCACCGAGCTCACCTGCCATGGACAAACTACCTCAGGCAACACCCTTTGCAGCCTCGCGCAAACAATTCGCGCCACGAGTTTATAATCTGTATTTAACAATGTTACAGGTCTCCACGAATTGGGGTCCCCGCGGTCCCCGCCTTCCTTTGGCAGCAAGACCATACGTCCTTGCCCAAACGATGTGGGCACCTCCTCCCCCAACACAGCCTTTCGGACCATCTGTACCAGGTGCCCCTGTAGGAGACTCCAGTACGTCTTGTAGAATTCCACTGTTAGCCCATCTGGCCCCGGCGACACGCCGGTCTTCATATGTTTCAAGGCCTTAAATACTTCCTCCGCCGTCGGCGGGTTGACTAAGGTCCGTGTCAATTCTGGGGGTATCGTTGGGAGGTCGGGCAGGAATCTCACAAAATCCTGCGAACCAATAGGCGTCCCTTCAGATCGTGCCAAGGCCGCGAAGTGTGCTCCAAAACGACTCAGCATAAAACTTTTGAAATTTAGTTACAAACTTTGCTTTATGTATGTTTTTGGTTTATAATGTCATTTCAAAACGACCGAGCGCTGGCACATGTGGCGCCATCTATGAGAAGACGATTAGACTATTGCGAATGTTGCCAACACGGCTGGCAGTATGTTTCCTGAGGCGCGCGCGGATTGCCACGCCATCATACCTCCCCATCCCCCTCTCATGAAATAAAAAGAAGTAAAATAAATAAAAAGGGACCATGCAACGACGTCTGTGTTTGAGACATCGTTGTGGAGTCACTGTTTTCTCTCTCTCCCCCCCCCCCCCCCCCCCCTTCCCGTCTCGGTTTTTTTTTAAAGGCCGTTTAGCTCTGGTTTTGAATTCGTTACATCGCACGTCGGGAAATTAGAGGCCCAGATCAGTTTTTTGCAGATGATGGGCAAAGGTCATGAACAAAAAGTAAGGGCGCAAACGAGCTGGTGTACATTGCACATGGTTAAAAAAAAAAAAAAAAAAACCCGAGACTGCGGGTAAACGACACAACACTAGTGTTGTGTCGTTTACCCGCAGTCTCGGGTTTTTAGTGTTGTGTCGTTTACCCGCAGTCTCGGTTTTTTTTCAACCATGTGCAAAGGTCATATTGTTTCTATACCCTACCAAGAAAAAAAAAATAGTTTGAGATTTTTTTTAGATCTAAGTAACCAATTTCTTAAAATGTGGAATTATGTACTGCAAGTGCGCATTCAGTTAAACAAGTTGGTTTCTTATTGAAGTTGACGAAACAGAAAAACAATTTCACTGGAAATGTAACTGCACGTCGCGCGACCTCACCGGAAACAGATTTAGCTTGACCCTAAATTGGGCATGTCATCCAGCCTGCACGCTCAGAAACAATGCTTTCGAGTAGTGATATGCCCGCTTTGGTGGGAAAAGAAAGACTCCGGATATTATTTTATAGCAAGAAAATGAACACATCGAATATGCTTACTGCAAGCATGGTTAATAAATTCGCGCAAAGCAAGATCAGCACATTTTAATTACAAAAAAATGTCACACACTCTCGCGTTGTTGATTACATTCTCACATGTCAAAGTTTGCTCTTCTTCCGTTCAAAGCTCCACCGGCAGGTGTCGCGACAAAAACCGAGACTTTCAGTGTTTACAGTGACCTTGACGAATCTAATCTTTCTTAGTCCAGTTGACAAGGCTGAAAACAACAGACAAACAACTCAAATATCTGTAAAAAATAAAGTGCCAACTGACAATATTTGTTTTTGTCTAATGGCATCATATTTTTCTTAGACGTAGCAGTTGAACATGAGCAAATCACTTTAAACAGAAACACTTAGAGTAATTAAAAAGTGAAAGTTCTTTGAATGACAACTACGAATTATACCAAAGATCTGATCGGTGGTGGGTAGCCAAAGCTTCTTTATTTGCGGTGTATAATAAGCTAGATTTTTGGTTGTGCACATCTTTTTAGTTCCAATTTGGACACAGGCAGTGTGTGAATTTTGTACCAGTATTCAGTTAAAAGATCGCAATTAAAGAGTCCAGGCAGGCTTCTATCCAGTGTCAGTTTCCGAATCCAGTGTCAGTTTGCGCTGTCATAATCTTTTTTTTTTATTTAAAGATAAAAAAACCCGTGCTGTTTTTTTTTTTTTTCGTTATTGTGAGTGCACTTTTATAGTAAGAGCAAACTCCCACGAAAAACAAAGTCGGTTTAATTGTTTTGCTTGATCAAGGCAAGCCTTCTCATCTACAGACTGGAAGAAGCCTGTTTCATAGCTTTATAAAATTTATTCAGAAATGAGAGTGATGTACCAGAAACGATTGATCAAGAAGCATTCGATTTATGGGAGGCTTATATTAGGTTCGACTTACCACACAATGGCTTCACTATTTCTCCCCGCCTCCTTTTTTAGCTTCACCATATCTGCAAAGCTGGCTGAGGCTTCTTGTTATTATTATATAAATATTTTTTTCACAATCTCCGTAGACCAAAATTTCATCTCGATCAAAATCGCGCGGCATCTGTGCTTCCCGCATCACTGCGCGTTATGTTTACGCAAAGACCCGACAGATGGCGACACGGGCATCGATCCGTGAATGTTCGCGACTTTCGCGAAGCGCTGCCGCTAGTGTTCCGGGTGCCTTCATGTGCCGTTTCCGGATCAGATGCCAAAGTTTCAGAACTTACCCGGTTCCCTTATTTAAAAGTTATAAGTGAACAGGGAGTTTTCGTAGACCGTTTTCACTGTCCCGCAACGTTCTTCGCAACAACCCGCAACGAGATCCAGGACTCTGTGCAGGCGAGGCTAGCGGGCGCATGCAGAGCGTCTTCCTACCGGAGAGCGTAGCGGTGCTGGGAAATCGGTGCACGAAAACTCCCTATCTCCGGACGTGAAATCGTCGATAAAACGAATGATGACGTCACACGCAGGCCTTATCTTGGAAAATGAACCGAGGCGAAAGCCGAAATGCTGCACAGTGCCACTCACAGCCTACACTGCCCATTATCTCAGCACCAACCAAAATTTGTGAAAGGAGCAAAATTAAATTAGGGAGTTTTCGTAAACCGTGCTTTCCCCTCCGCTGAGCCCTCCGCAACGAAGAAGCCGCTGCTGCGCCTGGGCGCCGTTGGCCTTGGTGA